CTTTTCTGAAAAAACACCAAAAACCAAGTTGTGTCCAGTTGGTCGCTTTTACTTCTAACCACAGAAAAATCATAACTTACAGTTTACCTGGATAGTAAACAGAACTTCAACACCAGAAGTTGTTCCTAAGCAGGGTTTCCTAGGTGCATTTATCACCAGTCAAGGGATTTGGTAGATATTTCTTTTTTTCTGAAAACTTCTAAAGCATTAGCAAGTTAAAAAATATGTATTTTTAACCAACTTACATTTAACTATTGTTAAACAGGACCAATCCTACATGTATTGCATGAACAAATCAAGCTGATAGAATATTATCACACTGAAACAAATTGCAAGGATGAAAAGACCTCACCAAGAAATGAAGACTGAGCATGTTAAAACATGAGTCATGAAATGACCATTCAGTTTCTATGGCAATAATCCATATTTGTAAACATCAGGGAGAAAAAATGCCTGCACTAACAAACACAGCATGCAATTATTCTTCAATCACAATGAATTTTCCAAAAAACTGTAAGTTAATGCAAATAGTTGAACATGACCCTCAATTTTATGTATTCCATAATTTTGAGCAAAATTTTGCTCGGGCTGAACATAAGGAATCCTCTCGAGGAGTATTCTTGTAGAAATTTCTGTGTAGAGTATCCTTCCCACACTTTTACGGTCAGGAAAGTCAACCTCAAATTTTCTAATTAAATGAGCTAATCCCCATAGAATTACAACTTTGTCTAATAGTTATTAGATTCCTATTTGCTGCTTGTTTAGAGTTATATTAATTCCTATTTCTGAATTATTTACTATGCTTAAACCCCCAAACACATATACCTACATGCACACATATGCAGGTTTTCTCACTAAGAAAGCAGAGGTACAGACATAATCTGGAATTTTTGGGGGGAAAATAGAATCAATACAGCATAACCAGGGGATTATCATTTGCATTTACATACATAACCAGGTACAGCCAGCATGGGTTTATGAAAAGCAGGTCTTGCTTGACCAGCCTGATCTTCTTTTATTGTGACCCACTTATGGGATGAGGAAAAGGCTGGGATGTTGTCTACCTGGAACTTAGTAAAGCTTTGGTCACTGTTTTCCAAGGCATTCCCCTGGAGAAATTTGCTGCTCATGGCTTGGATGGGTGCACTGTCCACTGGGTAAAAACTGCCTGGATGGCCAAGCCCTAAGACTGGTGGTGAATGGAATTAAATCCAGTTGGTATCTGGTCACCAGTGGTGATCCCCAGGGCTCAGTATTGGGCCCAGTTCTGTTCAACATCTTTGCCAATGATCTGCATGAGGGGATCACAGCAAGTTCACAGCCAGCACCAAGCTGAGCTGGAGCATCAATCTGCTGAAGCTGCAAACAGTTGGGTTCAATGATCTTAAGGGTCTTTTCCAACCTAAACTATAATTCTGTAACTCTAAGTATTATCTGATCCTCACTAAAATTGTGACAATTGTAAAAACAGGGGTGCTTTTCCTCTTTCATATAGAATCATACAATATCATTCTTCTTAGAAGCTGGACATAGATAAAAGACCCATAAAATCTAAAGAAGCATTTGGCACAAATACTCAATAATTTTCTTACTTTCTCATAGCTACAGAGGATTTTCACTTGTCATCTTATTCCCAACACTTGCCCCATTATTGGGACTGTGCAATGTAACAAGGTCTTATCTCCCTAAAGATATCAGTGAGAAGATAATGGACACAGTTAACAGCCCCCATTCCAGCAGCTGAGCTGCCTGTGTCTCCAAAGTCAGTCCAATCTCCTGTCTCTCTTGCATGGTTTCCAGACAAAATGAAAGAACTTGAGAATCCAAAAAAGGCAAAGAGGATCATTAATCTAAACAGAAAAATTACCTTTTTTCCTTCCTTGTTCACACTATCTAACAAATTAGATATTTTTGAATCAACACCAGGGCTCACACTGATCTCAGCTGAAGGAGGGTTGACACCACAAGAGGTGGACAGGAAAATATAACTCAGACAAAGGCACATTGCAAAAATTTATGAGAACCAAAGGTAAGTATGGGATTGAAGAGAAATATGGGAAATGGTGGCAATAAGCCACCACTGCCACACCCACAGGCAATTTGCACAGACAATTCTTCTTGAATAAGGTGATTCCCACAAGTTCAAATCCAATCCAAGTGTACTGATTTTCTACTAAAGGTGTGTTTCTAATTTATTTTTAAAAAACTTTTACACTCCCAAGGGGATGGGAAAGGGTCCCAGAAGCACATCCTGCTTCTGCTAGTAGTTCCCTCTATGCCAAGCCCTAGGGAAAGAGGAAGGACTGTAGAGTTGTGTGGAAAACCCTGTATGAAAGGTTCAGAGCTTTCAGGTATTCAGCACTTAAGCAGCACAAAATTTCAGTCACCTCCTGGGCACTTTCTGATCCTGTTGCATTTCTGAACTAAACCAAGTCTCTACAAAGAAATTAAAACCAGGATCTTTCAGCCCTTCTAGGATTTTGCAGCACTGACCTTATTGATAAATAACTTTTTAAAAGGCACATTTAAACAGTCTCAAAATGATCAATTTTGCTGTAATAGGTTTGGAAGTGTCTGGTTTTCACATTTTTACATGCATTTTAAGCACGTGCACCATGTAGCACTACCAGCCAAGTGCTCTTGAGCAGAACACATCAATCTGCAAGGGTTTCAAGAGGAAAAAAAAAATAATAAAGAAACTGGCATAATTTAAAAGCACAGGAATGGTAATTGGTAAAGGAATGGTAATTGACAAAAAGGTAAGCAGTATGTTTGGTTTGAAGCATTACAGTTCTTTCATTAAGGTTTTTTAACCATATTATCTGCTTTGTTATGTTCAATATCAATCCCCCTTACGATAAATTCTGTAACATACAACCACAAAAGCTATTTCTTTCTGCCACTGTGTCTAAAGTTGACAAGCAGCATTCAATCCTTGTTTTTTCTAGGATTGTCATGAAAAATGGCTGGTACAACACTGGTTTACATCCTTTATGAAAGTTGATAGATCTACACTTCCTGAAATGCCCTTCTTCCTTTACCAGATATCTCTAATATTTGTTTATCTGGTAGTACCTATATTCAAGTAGTACATAAGTGAAGGAGAAATAAAGCAGCTCTACAGACAAAGTCACCACAATGTTGGCTGATGTTGGACCTCTACACAAATACCAAATTCAAGACAAACTAAGGGTAAAACCTGCCCACTCTTCAGCATTTGTAGGCTTCAATCAGGAACTAAATGAAAGGTGAAATCCCTTTCTTATGCAATTAAACCAGACCAATGTGTAGAATACACCCTACTTCTATCTTCACTGCACCAGCCCTCACACCACATTAAAATAGGTCTGGGTTCGGTTTTCTTTTAATATAATGGACATTGGAAAAGGGTCTGCATAGTAGACAAAAGCTATTAATTCTCAAACAGGAAGATGAGTAAGTGATGTAAGTGTAAACAGATGTCACTAATTTATTACAACATATTTTGCTCTCTGACTTACCACATACCTCTCAGTGGCCTCAGCCATCAGCACATGAGAAATACATCCCAGAACGTGTTGCTACATTACTGCCTTATCCCATAATTTCCATAATTCCAAAAATCTAGTAAATGTAATAACCCCACAGAAAACTCATATAAATTTTACAATTTTTCTTAAATAGGAAAAAAGCTATATTTTTTATTAAATGGATACCAAAAATTAAGCCAGTATTTTCACAAGTGTTTTGTTTGGTATTACATATAATTGAAAAATGCATAGTATATGCCTCCCTTTATAGCAAGTATATGAATTACACTCAGAAGTTTATATAAAGTGCCCCCTCTATGGGGCTTCTCACACAGCTGTGCACGGGCAGGACAGTCTCATTTTGCTTTGTAGAACAAAAGTTTCAGAAATATTGCACTGGTTTATTCATCAGGCTTTGACTCCTCCTCACTTACGCAATCCAGCGTTTTACCAGAGAGGTTCAGTTACAAGAAAAATTAGACTCTTAAAAACACAAGACAAAGTAAGTGCAAACTGCATTGTAGGGTACATCCTACAATGCGCCGGAATGCCCTACAAAGGGACTTTGTTGGGCACAATTTGGAAAAGAAGCCAGTGTTTCATATAAGAAGGCTAGGAAGTACGCTCCGGAGTACAATAGCTCCAGAGTGTCCCACCACCAGCCTGCTCACATTTCAGGAAATCAACACAGATCACGACATCCATCCCGACTGATGAAAGAGTACAGTCACTACGCCTTCTCCTGCCCATCAGTGTCTCCCGCGCAGGCACTGAAGTAGCACTAAACACGAAGGGCTACCAAGCAGCCGCAGTCAGGGCAGTGGGGCGGGTGAGGCTCGCAGCCCAGCGCTCCTGCCCGCACGGAGCTCGCCCCGAGCCGCCGCTGCCCCGCTCCGCAGCCGGAGGGGAGGCTCTGTGCCATCCTCGGCGTCAGGCAGCCCCTCCGCAGGAGCCTGGGGGAAAACGAGCCCGAGAAGGAAAGAAAGGAAAATGAAAAGGAAAGGAGGAGGGGGGAGGGGTGAAAAAAGGAGAATCCACGTTTCTGCATTTCTCTAAAACAAAGAATGTGAGAAAGCAGATGTAGTTCAGCGCAAACGACTCCACCCTGCGAGGCTTCGCTGTTTACTCTCCCAGCTCGCTTGCCCAGCTGTCCTCCAGCCGCGTCCCAAGCCCTTTCTTTTGTTGGGAACTTCCCAGCGGCCGCAGCCCCGCCGGGACGGGGGCTCAGCCCGAGCGCCCCGCGGCAGCACTTGGCCTTTGACCGCCCCTCCCGCTCTGTGCCCGCAGCGAGCGCCGCAAACCTCGGTCTTCCGCTCAAAAAGCCAAAGCGCAAACCCCTCTCTGCTCCCTTCTCAATACGTGAAAGCAAAAGTCTTACTCTCCTATCCCAGAGGTTTTCCGCTCCACTTATTAGCCAAATCACACAATAAACACACCGCATGCAAAGAGGGGGGATTATGATAATTGTTTCAGAGGTAGAGAGAAACTCACCACCTTCATACTCTTCCACTTCTTGCGCTTTTAGGGTTACAAATCGGCCTAATAAAGCAGCGAGGATGAAAAAAGTTCTCGTTTGTACCAAGACTGCCATCATGCCTAGATATTAGACATGTATCCTCCCTGGGCAGCAAAAAGTGCAGAATCGTAAGGTTATTTTAGCACCATGAAGCCAGCTGAGGAGCCGTTCTGCCTTTCCGCATCAGTTCCAGCACAAAGTCTGCGAGCCCTCCTTTCAGCACCAGCTCCAGCGCAGTCTGCAAACACTCCTTTCAGGGGATGCAGCTTTAAATAGGAAGAATGCTGCCTCCACTTTCTTCCTGCCCCTTTTCAGCTCGTTCAGGCTCCTAACCATCCACTCCCTGCCAAGCAACAGTCTGATTGATGGTAAATAACCGAATCAGAGCTGGCTTCACTCTTCCTTGAACTTTTCTTTTTACGAGCACACTTGCGGGATACTTTCCTGCTGCTGTGCAATGCATGTGCTTTTTCAGGACCATTTATTAAGCGAGCAAAAGCAGAGTTTTAAGAAGCTGTCAGGAAGAGAAAGCTCTGCTTTTACCACACCCAGAGCACGCTTCCTGGAAATGGAGGGTATAGCCCCATTTGGAGCCGATTCCCTTATTAGGAACTGATCGCTTCCAGCACGCCAGAGGAGGATTTCCTCCTCTCCCGATAACCGCCCCCTGCCTCGCTGTGTTATCAATCGGGACTCCAGTCCCTTGAGAAGGGCTCACGGAGCTAAAATAAGGCAGCTTGCTTCAGCAACTTGGAAATAAGCCCCCTTCACCCAAAGGGAAATAATCATTCTCAAATGAATTCTTTTGCTGAATAATCTTTCCTGGAATGCCTATGTGGTTTATATTTAGTGTCCTATCAGTTGGGAAGACTGTTGGAAATCACTGGAAGATGCTCTACATTTTTAATACCAGAATGCCAGTTCAAACTATCCAAATACCTGCTTTTCTTCTCTGCCCCTGTTCCCTGACAAATCTACCTAAGCCCCAGGCTAGTATTTAGCCCTTAACAATGTGCCTTAATTAGCATTCTAGCGTGAGCACTAAGCAAATCTCTCTTTTGTGGATCACTTGCAACTGGGAGTAGAATGTTAAATTTCTTTCTTCCCACAGTGTTTATGGTCTGCTGAAAGGAAGCTCAGTCACTAATCCCCTCATTAGCTAAGAATGGGGTCATCTATACCTGCTGCAGGGAAATACAGATTCATCTGCTGGAAGGTTTTCTGTGTTCAGCTATTTCAGCTTGAGAACAACCCTATTTGAAGTAAACATCTTCACCTGGATTCAAAGATTGGAAATTCCCTGGCTAATCACAAGATGATTTAGCACCCTCAGTGATGCAGAATCCTAAAGCCTGTGAAGTTTTCTTCTGTCTCTTCAAAGGACCAGAGTGCCCAGAAGAAGAAAGGTAACCCAGAAAATGGGTTACTGTCCTGCAATGCTACATCAAACCTACTCGAATAGCAAAACCAGAGATGACTGTAAAAATACACTGAAAGAGAACAACATCAAAGTTCCCTACTCTCTTGCACCAAGCTGTCTTGACACTTTTTTTTCCCTGAGGTATTCAAAGATACATTCTGTGATTTCACTCCTAGGAGAGATTCCTACAGTGATATCTGAAAGTTGTCCTTCATATCTAATTCTGCTTTGGTCCCACCACCAAGTTATGCGCATAACTGAAACAGATGAACAATAGAATAGCAAAGGATACAAATTGAATCCATGCCCTTACACTCTCTTATAAATACATCCTTTTATCATGGTTCTGCACTTAGAGATGGTTTCAGATTCATTACAAGCATCATATGGAATCATTAAGTCTATCATTTTTCATTTAAACAAATTCACTTCCAGGTCCAAGCTATTTGATAGCATTCCACTGGGTTTGAGTGAGAGAAAATCTTCAGGTACCACTACTGTGAATAGAGTCAGACCAGGTAATTAAGAGTGGGCAGATACATAATTCCAAGTATGCTCAGAGTCACTTCTCCCTTCTTCCTCTCAATAGGGGAGAAGCCAACATTGCATAGAATAATATTGTATATTTATGCAGCAACTTCTCTCCAGGTTTTTTTTTCACTTTTTTCCATAGATTTTAGGATTCTGTAAGAACAGAGGAATGTGGAATTTTGCAAATTAGCCCAAGGTCATGGATTCACTTGTAAAGCCTTTTTTGGAGCTCATTTTTTTTCTGTGCCAAGGAAAACTTACACAAGAAGAAAATTCCTTGGGAGGAGAATCCTGGGCCCCAATTCCTGGAGCAGATTCTTCCCCAATCCACCTTCATTGTTACACGTCCAGTTTACAGTATATAACCACACCTAATTTAGTAGACAGAGAGACTGCAGAAGTCATAGGACTGAATCCTCTTTGTCTAGTCCATCTCAGTAGAGGAATAAATGTGGAAAAGCAGGAAACAAAACCAGGCTCTTTCCACCAGCAGGAGACACTTTGAATTCAGGATTGCCTCAGCTACCAATTTGTGGCTGATTACTCACAGGAGATGAAAAAGGGATATGACTTAATTTAAAAATCACTTTCTAATAGAATCACAGAATAGTTAAGGTTGTAAAGACCTTTAGAAGTCATCTAGTCCAAGCCCCCTGCAACAAGAAGGGACATCTTCAAATAGATGAGGCTTCTCAGAGCTCTGTCCAGCCTGACATTGAAGGTTTCCAGACATGGGGCATCCACCACCTCTCTGGGACTCCTTTTCCAGTATTTCATCACTCTTATCATAAAATTCTTTTTTATACCTAGTCTGAACCTACATTCTTTTGGTTTAAAAACATTACCCCTTGTTCAATTGCAACAGACCCTGCCAAAATGTGTGTCCCCATCTTTCCGACAGACCCCCTTCAAGTACTGGCAGGATACTATAAAGTCTCCCCAGAGCCCTCTCCAGGCTGAACAACCCCAACTACTCCTGCCTGTCTTCACAGGGGAGGTGTTTCATGCTTCACATTAGAGCAATCTTCATGTTTTAAGAATCTTTATACAACAGGTAGGGAAACAACAAATCACAACAGCAAAATCTTCACATAGAAGCAGTGTCTACTCAGTGATAAGCTCTAAAAAGTCTCGGTGAAATGAGAGCTCCCCAAAGCTAGGACACTCCTAGAAATGTCAAGATACAATACTCTGAAAAAGTATGTAACTAAATACTCCCTAATATCCTGTTTGCTGCTATTACCTACTTTTAGCCAGTAAGTCAGTACTGTAAGTTATCTGACCTAAAAGTCATATGTAAATTACTCAAAAGTCAAAATTACTCGAAGTCAAAGCATATTGTGAGTGATAGATGTGGCTAGGGAATACTCTTATGTAATTGTGAGGACACAGAAATATATTAAAATATAATTCACACACTTAAACCTTTCAAAATCTCAAAGTCAGGCCAGAAAAACCCAATTAGCAGCTTCAGATGCATCCGAGCATGCATACATATGAGCAATTAAAATCCAATCTCCATGAGGGTCTCTCCAGTGGAGTTTAAGAGCCTCTCTCACCTTTCACACTGTTACATATAGAGTGACAGTGCTCCTGTTCTAAACTAATCTGTGCCAAGCTGATAGAAAGTATCTTCACATAAATTTGTGAGCCATCTGCTACATATGAGAACCTGCACCAGTGTTTTAGATCAATATGAAATCAGTGGATTCATAAAAACTGGAAATAAACTCTAGCTGAATTCAAAGGGTATCTGTTCAAAGACAAGCAAGATTTTCAAAAGCAGTGTGGTTTCACCAAAGGGAGCTCACGCCAATGTGAGAGTTGCCATCAAGTTTTATGTAGGCAGTTAAATCCACAGTGAGTCCTGTTTGAAATTTCCACCTTGTATAACTTCTTCGATCACACACTTAGCTTAAAAAAAAAGGCAGGAAATTTCCACACCATATATTTAACTTGCAAAAATATAGTCCACATAAAATGCTTGCCCTTTCTTGGAATTAACCATTAAAATGAACATGACTGAAATAATATATGAGGGGAAAATAGTTCTACCTTTGAAGTGTGTTCACTTTGCACTTTTAAAACCATTACTGCATGAGGAATCAGTTTCCCCATTTTATACAGGTCTTTCACATAGTAAAAGGAAAGAAAATTCTGCTATTTAAAATGAGAAAATGTAATAGGAAACTACAGAAAAGAGCAAGAATGAAAACAGAGGAATATTATAATACTTTTCAATCATATTTAAATGGACTAGATTCCAAACTGCACAGCCTCCAAATCATAATCTTCCTGCAGAGAAATCCACAAAAAAACCTAGTATAGGTAGAGATTTAAATAATGCTACACCAGTAACGCTGCTGCCCAGTTGTAGGAGAATATTCCCATCAGCCTTTGAGTAGGAAGGTTTAATAAATGAATTTAAGTCCTAATAGAGGAAAAATATCTTTCTTGGTTGCAAAATACCTTTCTTGGTTGCATTCAACCTTTGTAATGTTGTTTCAGTTTATTTTTATTTTTGGGACACAGGATGATACTTTGCTTTAAAACTGCTAGTGAGGAGTCTTGGATTATGTCAGTCACGATAAATAGGCTTTTGCTATGAGGAACTCCAAACCCAGTAAGTTCAATAAGTTATTGGCACTGGCAGCCCTTCCTTTAGAATGTCTCAATTTAATTAAACTCAACATTAGTCTAAGCAAAAAAGTCAAGGAATTAATTAGGAAAATAATTAGGGTAAGTCTTGCATGAAGTGCTCTGAAAATTATACTTATTCTTTACCTAGAACAGGAAAAACAGCATCATTATTTTATTCTTTATTACAAATTCATTGTCAAGCTGGCTTCTGTCTGCCTAAGAACTTAAACTGATTAAGTGAGAACATAAAAGGATCACAGCAAGCTACCCACTTAAGTGGCAAGGGCAAATGCTAATCTGTAATTCAAATGGGTCCCAGCCAATGGCCTTCACTGTTTTTCCTAATATTTAATTAATTTACCTGAGGACCCTAAGGTAGCTTACTTTGTTCTGTTTCACTGACTGAAAGTCCCTGCAAAAGGAGTTAAAGACCTATCCAACAAGCATATTCCAAAGGCAAATATTTTTTCTGACCTAGCAAATCACTTTAACCAATGGGACTGTAAAGAAAGAATTTGGCTGAAAGTTTATTTTTAACCTTATTCTCTTGTGGGCATAGGCTTGTTATAAGATGTTGGGGCTCAGGATTACTTAATTACCACCACTAAACTTTATC